GTTTGCTCTCTTTTCCAAGAACACTCTCTATCCATCCTACTACCTCCACCTCATTGCCTTTTTCCACAATGTACTCTATGCCTGGATAGGCCTCCCTCTCCTCTTCTCTGAATTCTTTCACGTCCTTTAAAGTGCTTGTCTGAAGCAATCTAAGGCATGTAATATTGTGTACTGCAGTGATGTGGGCTAAGGCCTTAGCACCCCTACCCCACCACTGGACTGTAAGCTCTATAAAGGCAAAGCCTATGTCATCTAAACTTTGTATCTTGGCTGCACTTAGTACAGTCTGATTACTAATGCATGTCTAGGGAAAGGAGGGTAGTTCAGAACATTTTTGGAGAAAACTAGCAATCTAGTTGACACTAAGGTTTGTGGCAGGTATGAGATAAAGCTGAAAAAAAAATACAGGAAAGCTAAAGTGGAGGGCCTCAAGAGGCACAGAAAACTTACAAGCAGAAAAAAAAATCACCAGATCCATGCAAAAGACTAGTATGAAGGATGGATCTAAGAAAATAAAAGTACGCACAAACAAAGCCAATGCAACCTAGATTAGGAGGGAAGTAGAAAAATGGGAAAGAATTTTTATAACCAGTCTCTCTGATAAGGGCGTCATTTCTAAAATACATAGAAAATTAAGTCAAATTTATAAGAATACAAGTCATTCCTGATTGATAAATGGTCAAAGGTACGAACAGGCATTCTCAAATGAAGAAATTAAAGCCATCTATAGTCATATGAAACAATGCTCTAAATCACTATTGAGTAGAGAAATGCAAATCAAAACAACTCTGAGGTACCACATCACACCTATCACATTGGCCAACATGACAAAACAGTAAAATGTTAAATGCTGGAGAAGATGGGAGAAAACTGGAACACTAATGAATCGTTGGTGGAGTTGTAAAGTGATCCAACCATTTTGGAGAGTAATTTGGAACTATGCCCAAAGGGCTATAAAATTGTGCATAGCCTTTGACCCAACAATACCACTTCTAAGGCTTGATCCCAAAGACATCATAGAAATGGGTAAAGGACCCATGTGTATAAAAATATTTATAGCAGCTCTTCCTGTGGAATTGGAAATTGAAAGGATGCCCAGCAACTGGGGAATGGCTGAACAAATTGTGGTATATGAATGTGATGGAATACTAATGTGCTATAAGATGATGAGCAGGGAGACTTCAGACAAACCTGGAAAGACTTATATGGACTGATGCTGAGTGAAGTGAGCAGAACCAGAACACTGTACACAGTAACAGCCATGTTGTGCCATGACTGACTTTGATAGACTTAATCCTTCTCAGCAATGCAAGGATCTAAGACATCTCTAAAGGTCTCATGATGGAAAATGCTATCTACATCCCAAGAAAGAACTATGGAGTTTGAATGCAGATCGAAGCATACTATTTGCTATTTTTTTTCTTCTGTTGTGTTTTGTTTCCTCTTTCTGGTGGTTCCTCCTATTGGTTCTAATTCTTACTTACAACATGACTAATGTGAAAATATATTTAATAGGAATGTATATGTATAGCATATATCAGATTGTGTGACATTTTGGGGAGGGAGGGGGAAGGATGGAGGAGAATAACTTAAAACTCAAAAGCTTATGGAAGTGATTGTTGATAAATCAAAATAAACTAATAAAAATAATAAAAAAATATACTGTTAGAAAAGGAAAGAAATGGGAAATCTTAGAAGAGGTAAGCATTGAAGAGAATCTTGGAGGATAGAAAGGATTTGAACAAGCAGGAAAACATGGTGGAGGGCATTCCAGGCATAGGAAATAGCAAAGGTTCAGAGGTGGTAAAACCACAAAAGGTGTTCTTAGAACAATCTAGCTAAAGCAAAAGGATGTTTAAATGAGTAATGTGCTATAAGTTCCTTTGGGTTACTTGGGGGTATTTGTTTTCTCTGACCTACCTGCCTGCCAATTTGCTTGAAATTTAACTCAATTCAGCAAACATTTTCTAAACCCTTTTCTGCTATGAATAATGCAATACTGGAAAAATATTCGTATCAAAAACAGGAAAGATGGTGGTACTCTCAACATTGCTAAGGAAATTCAGAAGAAGGGAGACCTTGAGGGTTGGGGTGAGGAGAGAAAGACAATGAGTTCTATTTTAAACATGCTGAGTTTTAAGATGTCTATGCGACACCCAATTTGAGATGTCTAACAACCAGCTGAGATCTAAGTCCCTAGGTTAAGACAGAAGTTTACAGACCAATGAACAGATCTGAGAATCCTCAACATAGTGATGATAAGGAATCTACTGGAGTTGATAAGATCACCAAGGGAAATAATACAGATTAGAAAAAACAGAGGACTCGAGACAACACCCATAGTTAGCAGAAGATCTAGCAAATGAAACTGAGGGGGTGGTTTAAAAGGTAGTAAAAGAACTAGGAAAAAGTAGTATCACGAAAACCTAGAGAGAAAAGAGTATAAGAAGTGGGTGATTGACAGTGTCAAAGGCTGCAGAAAGGTGGATGAGGATGAGGATTGAGGAAAATCCATTATATTTGGCAATGAAGAGATCACTGGTAAATTTGGATAGCAGTTGCAGTGAAATGAAGTGGGAAGTAAGAATGCAGAATGTTAAGAAAAGAAAGGAAACATGGAAAGTACATGGAAAATCATACACCTCCAAAAGCAGTATCTAGTAATAAAACACCAAGAAAGTCTCTACATTTTGGCTGAGAAATATAGGAGAATTTTTCAGTTTTGGGGGAAAAAACCCTATAAAGACACTATAAAGCACAATGATTTCCATATATTTCCAAAAGAATGGGGGGAGGGGGGAGAGGCTTAATCCAGAAATATTGTACAAAATCTGCTACCAGTATTTTGGTTTCAGGAACTTAAAAAAAAATGAAATTAACTAGTCATGGAGGTTATAAGAAATTGTTCTTAGATGGTAATCACTGTTAGTGATTTAACTTGTTTTTAATTATATCCTACATATGAAGGTTCTTTATATGAGAGTCTATAAAGGACAATGATGAAAAAAGCACCTAAATGAGGGAATCTTCATTTACTGCTACCTTTACTTAATTCAATGCTTCAAAAGATCTCTAATTTCTTTAGTATATGAGTCCCTCCTCTGAAGCAGATTAACCTCCATCCTAAGATTGACAGATAAGAATTTGAAAAGAAAAAGAGAAGGAAATTATTTTTCTGTTTAAGAGTATTCTTAAACTTCTGTAAAATGATTAAATGTTTTAAAGTATAATACTAAAATTGATTAAGTTCAGTAACAAAACACAAAGGCCCTCCAAAAACAGAGGCAGTATCAGAACTGTTTTGAAAGTAGCAATAAAATTTTTGGAAGGTCTTTTGGACTATTAAAAAGAATTTTTAAAATTATTGAAAACTTAAGTGTCATGTAAGTTTTTTGGTGTACTTTTATACAAAACAATTAAAACAATTACAACATGAATTCTTATGATTTTCTGAGCATTTAGATATACTTGAGGATTCAATGCCCTAACACCTTAAATGAGTGAATGAAACAAGATGGGTAATCCATAGAGAAGCAAAGCAAGTAGATGTGAAAGGTGAAATTTGAGACCCATAAACAATGTAAACATAGCTAGATTTTTAAAGATTTAAGAATAGTGCAACAATTCACCTTACTGTAGCATCAAAAGAGAAACCAATAGAATATGCGATGGAATTTCTGCTTCTCCCAGCCCCAACCCCATTCAAATGCTTTCTTAACCTCTTGAAAGTTTATGGAATACATTGAGTTCGTTATTAAATTTAGAAGTAAAAACTATCAGTCCAAGTCAACTCTTAAGTAGGTTCTATGATGGGAATAGCTCCACTACAGAAAGTCCAACACACGACAAAATCAGTGTATAAAACAAAAGAATATGAAGGGAAGAGAGAAGGGAAGGGAAAGGGAAAAGAAAGGTGGAAAGGAAAAGTGAAAGGAAAGGGAAAAGAAAAAGGAAGTTATTTGGGAAGGGAAGAGATTTACTTCCCTGAATCTTAACTAGAAGTCTACATCAGTCATTCTAGACAAGTGGTCCAGAGACCCTAGGGAGTCCTCCAAATCAAAATTATTTTCATAACAATACTAAAATGTTTCCATTTATAATGAGATAAATACATACACACACATATATAATTCATATGAACAAAAGCTCCTTAGGGAGGAAATTTTTAAAAATTTAAAGACGTCCTGAGACCTAGAAGTTTGAGAACTGCTGCTCAGGACTATAAATTGTAGATTAGATAAATTGCTAATCTGTACAGGTAGTAGGAGCTACTTCTCCCAAATGAATAATCTGAGATCCAGTCTTAAAATAAAATAGGTATTTATATAGCTCTTTTAAAGTTTGCAAAGCCATTTCTCTCATCTGAGACCTCATAACCTCCCTTTTAAAGTGGAAAGAGACTCTGGTCCATTTTACAGATAAGGGAAATGAGGCTCAGAGACACCGAGGAACTGTGCCCACCGCCGCACAGCTGGCAAGTGTCAATGAATGGCAGGATTCCGAATCCGGGTCTTTCTAACTCCAAAGTCCACAATCTGGTTAAGGCAGAGTCAGAATCGGTGCCGGGCAACTCCAAAGGGGAGAAAATGCTCCAAAACAGAAGTCAAAAGCTTAACCCACATGTTTACTAAATTCCACTACCCCACCCAACTTCCGCTGCCCACGTACCTGCCCGCCCCCACCCAGCCCTCCCCGGAGTTCCCCGAATGCAGAACGCTTTTCCAGGAGGAAGCCCATCCACAGGGCGCCCGAAGAGCCGTAGTCACCCAAGTCTTGGGGAGGCAGGGAAGGAGCTGGAGAAACGAAAACTGATTTCATGGCGGGGGCGGGGGCAGAAAGAGCGCGCGAGCGCGAGCTCCCAGTGCGAGCCCCGAGCCCAGCCCGGGCTCCCCCGAGCGAGAACGGGCAGCGACTCCTCCAGCTGCGCGGCCCTGCGCGGGGGGGACAGCTCCCGAGGCGAGATCTCGCCCCGGAGGTGACTGAGGGTCGGCTTCACTCACCACTTGGTAGCGGCGAGCAGTCATCGGCTTGTGAAGATCCATCCCTGGCCGTGTGCAGGAACCTGCTGGACTAGGAAAGGGCTGAGAGCGGGGAGGAGGGTCCGAGACGCCGGGGCTCTCAGAAGCTTCGGCCGCCGCCGCCGCCGCCTCCTCACGGAGCAGACTCACTTCCTGCCCCGGCCGAGACCTCCGCGCTGTCCGCGGGCAGGACGAGGCGCTGCAGTCCTCATCTGGAACCTGCCTGAGCTACTGAGCATGCGCCGCTGGGGGACACGCGCATGCTTAGTGGATCTTTTTTTTTTAAGAGCCCCTTAGTTTCCACATAGAGGTTAGAGTCTTGCTGGGTAGGAGTGGGAGAGGGACCTAAGGGGAAGGAGGAACTGCCTTGGTGGTGGCTTCTCCGTGGCGTGGGCCGTGGCCGCAACAGTGGAACTTATTACCAGTCATGGCTAGACTTGACGGGTCCCTTCCGTATACACACACACACGCACACACACACACACACACACACACACACACACACACACACACACACACGAGAAAAGCCAGATCCCACAGTTACCCACAGCTTTAGGATCCTTTAGGTCCTTGTTCACTCATCCTTAGCTTCCTTCAAAGTTCAGCTGTCATGCCACATCTAACTCAGGCCTCATCCGATTTCCCTGCCCCCCCAATTTTTTTTAAATTGAAAAAAGGAGAGTAGTGGATAGAGTGCTAAACTTGGGGGTGAGACACTAGTTAGCTGTATGGTCTGATGGCGGCCAAATCACTTAACCCATCTAAAATAGATCATAATAACACCTGTACCTCGTAGGGTTGTTGTGAGGATCGAATGAGTTGGTACATGGTGTCCCAAAAGTCTTGGTGCAGTTCAAGACCCCCCCCCCTTCCCCCGCCGAGGCCCCCTTTTGGAACACCCTGTATATATAAAAGAGCTGTGCAAATCTTAAAGCACTGTATATTCTTTTGTATACACTTTCATACGTCAGGGTAGGACGGAATGAAGCTCCTTGAGAGCAAGGGCTCTTTCATTTTTATCCTTTTATCCCCTGCTGTCTGTCTAGTACAATGCCCGGGGCATAGTGGTTAAGACATATGCTTGCTGATTAATCGATTCATCCAAAAAAAAAATACAATAATACAAGGAGTTTCCCGAAAACGTCGTGGAGAGGCTAGTGAGATAGGGTTACTTTTTCAGCAAGGATGTTTACAAATAAACCTATCTGACAAATGAAAAGTCGGTTGGTGGAAAGAGATACTTAACCTTGAGTGACTCCATTTTCTCACTTGTAAAGTGGGAATAATAATAGCTTTTTCCTCACAAGATTTTAGTAAGGAAAAAATGAAATCATGTATGTAAAATGCTCTATGTATCTTAAAGTGATTATATAAATGTTAGCTATTATTTATTACAGAAACGGATGATTAGAAATACTCAGTGGTTACACATACCAGTAAGATGGGTAGAGGGCTAGACTTAGTCAGGAATCTTAGATCCCAGTTCAAATCTCTGACTTTGACAAGCTACCTGTGTGACTGAGGGAAGGTACTTTAAACTTTTCTTACCCTAGGCTTCCTCATTTGTAAATTGAAAGACGTGGGCTAAATATCTTTTTAAGGTCCCTTCCAACCTCAAAATCTATGACTCCTTTGTGAAGTAAGTTCATAAGCTTTATGTTATCAAGAAACAACATATAGGCAGACAAGAAGTGGGTTTCTAGCAAATAAAAATAAGGTGTCTTTGGTTAACAGTACAGCATGTCTTAGTATTAATTAGCCCAACACATAGCTCATTGTGTCTTCATAACTGTCACACATTATGCTTCCTAGAGGAAGGAGTGGGAGTTGTGTAGGAGCATTGTTCTATAGCATGTTTTTTATCTTTTAACTCAGACCTAGAAACAGAACTTAGAACTGAAAGGCACCTTAAAAAACATATAGACTGATCAATACAATAACCAACTACATACAATTCCAGGAAGCCTACACCTGGCAGAGTGATACACTCATGATGTAAAATGAGACATATATGTTAGGACATGGTCATTACGGAAATGCGTTTTCCTTAACTGCATATTTGTCACAAGGGTTTTCTTTTTCATTTCATTAGGGAACAGGGAGAGGAAAGAATGTGGGAAAGAGACAAAAATGTTTGTTAATTAAAAAAAAATTAATGAAAAATATCTAGTCCAATGCCTTTTTTCAGTGAGGAAACAAGCCCAGAATGGGGAAGTGACTTATTCAACACAAGGAAATTTAACACTTACCATATTGTTCGCTAATCAAACTATATATTTTAATCATGTTTCCTCTTGAGATTATAAATTCCTTGAGGGTAAGGACCATACTTCAGTAATCTCCACAGTGCAAAGGCATTTTGATGTGTATAGAGCAGACCCAAACAACTGACTAGAATGTCTATAGGAATATAACTTGGATATCTAATTTTATTTCACACTTCCTTCTCAAGGCTTATACTTGCATTTTGCTCACCCAAAGATCCCAACATGCCAGAATGTTAGACCATAGCAGGAAGGCATATTTTCAGACAGAAGATAGAAAACACCTGTTTAAAATTTTCCCTTTTTAGTTTTGTTCTTTCTCACCACTACTCATAGAGCTTGCAGACAAAACAACTCTAATGTGATAGCAATCTGTCACAAAGCTTCAAATTAATTTTCCTAAATTCCAGATTCCTTCCCTACTAATAAGACAAATAATTTCTTTATGCTACTCAAAAGAGAGCTATTCTCAGTTATTTTCACCCATCAACTAGAGCCATCCTTACTCTTTAATAGATTCCCACCAGAAAAACCATATTTCCATTCAGAAAAATGTGAAATGAAAAGCAACCTATCTCATGCCACTGTCTCTAGAACCAACCATTCAATATTCAGCTGTTCAACAGGTAGTTTTCCATGTACAGAAACAATGTCTATAGCCTTCAAATCCTACTGAAATTTTCACTAGCTAAACAGCATTATAGGCACTAATGCCTCAGTGTGACCTCCGCCGATCTCATGGCAAGCAAATGGAATCATTAAAGAAGGCAGATGCCCCAAATTCTAATACTAGTTCTAAATTTCTAATTGAATTTGTTATCTACTATACTTCAAAATAGAATGAATACTTCATAATTGTTGATTAATGTGTGATCATAAGAACTGCATTTGTAATGTATGTTTTTACATGTTTATCTGGAAAATTCTGGAGGACTAACAATGTTTGCCTAAAAGCTTCTTTAACTAACACATTTCCTTAACTTCAATTTTCTGTAAACCAAACTTGAAGGTAGATAGAAAAAGAAAACAAAATGCAGTTATCATTTTTAAGCTGCAGTATAAAAATAAGAGTTTGTCTTACTACAGAAAGTACTCTCTCCATTATGTTGTGTGTGTATGAAGCAGTCTGAAGGTTTAAACTTCAAAATAGCCTCATTACCTGAAACTATTTTTAAGATTACCCTCATCAGTCTTTCCTTTGTGAATTCTTTTTAATTGAAGAACTCTTTAAAGAGACACATTTTCTGCATTTCAGTCTTTACTGTCTTCTATTACTTCCCTGTTTTTTCTCCAATGAATTAATGACAATGAATGAAAAAGTATTTATCAAGCACTTACTATGTGCTAACCATTGTTTATAGAAACAGCTATCTATACTCATATTAATGCTTAATTCTCTATTAAGAGCAAAAATTATATAGATGATAGATATATAAATAGATACTCATTTATATTTTGTTTCTTCAAGTGAAGCTATAATCTATCATTCTTTGTTTTTAACATTTAGGTACACATTCTAATGAGAGGAAGAAGAGATTGAGAGAAGAATTTATTTCTCCTTTTAAAGTTTATTCAGTGGGTAGTTCTTCTTACTGGAACTTCCCATTCAGTACTTGCTTGAGTCCAAAATTGGGACCCATGGTTACTGTTGTTGTTTGTCCTTCATTTTCGAAGAGTATGATGACATCATGGGTAATGTCTTGACTAGTGTGTGAATTGGATTTAATTGAGGCAGAGTTGCAAAAAATCATCAGCCTCACTCTTTTCCAAAGTCAAGAAAGTCTAATGGTAAGATGAAAGTCGATGGTGCGGGATACAGTAGATGACCTTGGTGTCTCCTATTTCTGACCAAGCTCTAAGTCAGAGGCTCCCAAATTTATTTGGCCTACCACCCCCCTTTTAAAAAAAATTCTCAGCCCCCACCTGGAAATCACTCTCTCTCTCTCTCTCTCTCTCTCTCTCTCTCCTCTCTCTCTCTCTCTCTCTCTCATCTTATCTTATCAGCTCCTATTGATCAAATGATCATCTCTGTGCAGATGACTCTCAAATCTACATACCTATCTCTAATCTTTCTTCTGGACTCCAACTCCCCATCACCAAATGCAAACTGGACATCTTCCCCCAGACTTTCTATAAATATCTCAAACTAAGCATGTACAGAATTAAACTCATTTTCTTTTTCCCTAAAATCACCACTTTCTAACATCTCTATTACTGCAGAGGATAATACTTCTAATTGCTCAAGTTCACAATCTCAAAGTCATCCTCAGCTCCTCATTCTATTTCACTCCCCTTATCCAGCCTTGTTGACTCTACAACATAACTTGCATCCACTGTCTTTTCTTCACTCATACAGCCACCATCCTCATTAAATTGTCAAAATGATTTTCTTAAAGCACAGGTCTGACCACATTACTCCTCTGCTCAAGAAGATTCAGTAAATATTGTCTCTAGGATAAAATACAAACTCTTATTTTTGATATTTAAATCCCTCCACAATCTTACTCATATCTTTCCAGGGTGATTTGCTTCATTCCCTGTCAAATACTCTACATTCTAGTCAGACAATCCAACTTGATATACCTCACATACAACATTCGATCTCCCACTTCTATTTACACAGGCTGTCTGTACCCCATGTTTAGAAGTCTCTCCCTCATCACCTCTTCCTTTTGGAATCACTTTCTCCCTTCAAAGCCTAAGTGCTTCTTCTACAGGAGACTATTCTTATTGAATCTATTGTTAGTGTTTTCCCCCACTGCTTTACACATCCCAAAATGTTTCATGCTTATCTGTATACATTTTGTTTTTACCTGTGTACATGTTGTTTCTCCCTAAGATTTAAGTTTCTTGAGGGCAGGAACTGCTACATTTTTATCTTATATTCTCAGCATCCAGCACAGTGCCTAAAACATAGTACTAGGCACTTAGTAAGGCCTTATTGAATTGACTTGATCAGTCAGATTCATTT